CGGCAGAAGGGGCAATGAAGCAGCTTTTTTACAGGTCAAGTCATGCTTCAAGGAGCAGAATCTTTAAAGCCTATTTTTAAAAACAGATTTTCCATAAAGCACCAAGTAAGGGGCAGCTGCTATGTTTGGGTCTTGCTCAGAAATATCAATTGTCTGCTGCCACAGGAAACATTCTGACACAAATTCCAGAAAAATAATAACAGCAGATTCAGTTACCATATTTCTCTATTTGGGCAACTCAGTTGCACTTACCTGCTTGAGCTATCATGCATCGATAATAAGCCATAAATAAAACAAGCTAAGCCAACTACAGCTGCAAAAAACAGCATTTCTGTGTAAAATCCAAGAAAGACAAAATAGATGCCAATTTTTTCTCCATAATAATCCCTGTGAAAGAGGGTAAAAACAGAATCAGTAAAAACAGAATCAGAATCTCAAGAATGATATAATCCAGAGTCTTGATTTTGCATTCAGACAAGTCTGTAGTCTAATTTTGGCTCCCCTGCTTTCTAGCCATGTAATTTTGCTGAAGTTACTATGCTTTCTAAACTTTAGTTTCCACATCATAAAATGCAGGATGATGCTCAGCCACAGAATTGGTGTCAGGATTACAAACGACAACAATATAAATAGGAAGCCAACTGAGTGGAAGTTAAGTTTTATTTTTGAAATAGGGTGATTTGAAAAGCTTTTAAATTTTAAGGAGACTTTAATAAAGTGTGGAACAGTCTGCAGTGTAACTTCTAGCTGTTAACAAATCGAAATCAAACAATCTGCACATGGACTTTCGCTGAGGAACAATAGTTTAGTAACTGGCACATGGTACAAGTGAGACCACACTGTGTTAATCCAGTATTTCACTACTCAGCCATGTCCTACCTGCAAATACTGCAGCCCTTCGCCCCATCTCTTGCTTCATTTCCTTCCGGTACCTTCGAGGGTCCTCAGATGTGTCTGTCTATGCTAGGAATATCTTTGGGGCACAGCCTTTAACACTGTCTCCAGGCCACTGCGTAAGGATCTCAGCTCTTCCAAGCCAATGATGCTCATCTTTCTGAGGAGGAGTTCCCCTTTCCCGCTCTGAGTTTCGTTAGTCACTGAACCCCATCCCATCCCGCATCCCAGAAGGTAAATTCTCTTAGAGGAATTTTTTTTTTTCAGTCAAATTGACTAGGGTATAATTCACATACAAATAAAGTACACCTGACTTAAGTGTACAGTTCGATAAATTTAAATACACACACTCGTAACCACCTCCAGGATCAACAGACTGAGAATTTCCATCATCTCAAAAAATTTCCTTGTATCC